AATGGTTCTTCGAATATCAATTCTCGGCAAGCTGGTTTCAACGCATCACATGGGGCTGAAGTGATTCATTTCCCTTCCACAGGGAGCGAGAAGGTCACAGCGAAAACCGATGATGGAAAGAGTAGAAGTGATGGCTCCCCAGATCTCAGTTCTCGGCGAGTTGGTAACAACGTAACACGTGTGGCTACAGTGATGGCCACTCCTTCCACCGGAGGTGATAGGGTCACACCGAGAGTTAGCGATGGAATGGGAAAAAGTGATGGTTCTTCAGATCTCATTTCACAGCGATCTGGTAGCTACATGTATGCTGCGCATGTTACTACAGTTACTACAACTTCCACCGGAAGTGATAAGGTCACAGCGAGTGGCAGTGATGGAAAGGGTGAAAGTTATGATTCTTCAGATCTCAATTCTCGGCGAGCTGGTAGCTACATGTACGCAGCGCATGTTACTTCAGTTACTACTTCTTACAGCGGAGCAGATAAAGTCTCAGGAAGCGGTGGTGATGGATCGAACAAAAGTGGTGGTTATTCAGATATCAATTCCTCTCGCGTTGGTTACAAGAAGGTTAGGAAGATAGCTAATGAATGCAACATTGTGCAACATTCACCAAGGCACGGGAATAATCTAGTCAGAGCTAGCAATGCTTAGTTTTCCTTTGAAGTTTCTAAATTTTGTCAGTATTTTTCTTTTGCCTTGAACGTCAAACAAGATTCGTTTCGTATCAGCATTTTTTATAAATGATAATTGATATTTCTTTTACGTCTATTGCCTCGAATTTTTTAGCTACTGCCGATGAAACGAAAGCATTATATAAAGTTAACAAGCCAAAGGAAATACTCTAAAGAAAACGCTACATTCCTTTTAGGACACGATAAATACCAGTGCTCCCAGATCAGGCGGAGGGAGCAAGGGGACCGGGGCGAGTGCAGATGATAACATGAATAAGACTGCCGATGGTTCAAAGCCAGATGTCATTTCTTCCCGGGCTGGTAAAAACGGAGAGGTAAGGAAAATTAATTCAGGACGTGTTATGAATTATGGCTCTTGTCATTTGCCAAGACTGATTGGCCAGCTTCCATTTGCGGGACAGCAAAAGAAAAATCCCTTGGTACTTGAAAGAAGTAACATGGGATTTAAAGTAGAGAACATAACAAACAATACCACCTTAATGAAAACCTGAAAACGTATATTAATTACATTTCAGCTGTCTGATTCAATATCTTCCTTCACGTTATTTTTATACAGAGTCAAGAGGGTCTTAATGGATCCAAGGAAAGTCCAACTTTGTTTCTTAAAACAGACACCAGTCCAAAAGACGGTGGAAGGAGGGGTTCGCGTGTCCGCTCATCTATCGATGAAGACGTACCGCTGACTCATAAAACAGGAACTGTCGGCATTGTGGCTCTGGCGATCAGGAACAAGAATGAGACGAAGAAGGAGAGAGAATTTAAGGTAAGAAAATGTATGCAGGATATGACCACTAATCGAACTGATAAGGTAACTTATTTCGAGCCTTTGCTATCCCCGACTTTGCAGAACCTGGACAAAGACGTTCCTAAGGAAGACGTGAAGTATCCCCCGGATACTGCCAAAAAAAACAGATCGCCAGAGGTCTTGCCAGGTGGGTTCAGTATTCAGCGCTTTTAACTGTCCTTGCTTTATTATTTATAACTTATCGTTTGGAACGTCTTCTTTTGAAGCACCAAGAACTCGTGTCAAGTTATCAACTTCACCAGACTATATCAACGCTAACTGGATCAGGGTGAGAGATAGTGACATAAAATATCATTCAAATTCCGAGATTTTCAATCGATTGAATATCGACTAATCAATAGTTTGTCGATTATTGTTGCTGGAGCAAGAAAAATGTTTTAAAGGAGTGTAGATTTAAGTGAGACGAGCGAATGTGATTGTATATTAATCTCGAAATATATATTTGGCGAATTGTTATTTTTTTTGCTTAATATTTACTCCATCGTCTTATTTGCTTTCCTTGAAGGACCATAAAGGACAAGTCTGCTACATTGCTACCCAGCATCCTATGACAGAAACTGTTAGGGATTTTTGGCAAATGGTCTGGGACCAAAGAGTTCAAACGGTTGTTATGGTAAACGACGAAGAAAAAGAGAAAACGGTGAGACTGATTGTCACTGACAATGAATCATGATCAGGCTGTCGATAATTGGATAGTTTCACCAGCAACATTTGATGCTAAATCAAAACCTACAGTCACTCTTTAATAGCACAGAACTGTAATACCGACCCTCTCTGTGTCGGATTTGTGTTAACAAGATTGAGTTTTTTCATATCCTCCTTAGGCTGAATTTGTGGATTACCTTCCGAAAGGAGAAGGGATCTCTAAGCAGTTTGGCGGTTTCAACGTTACAGTAAAACAGATAAATGAGAAACCGGATTTTGTCGAGACTGTTTTGAGCATTGCCGATGGCAAGGTAAGAAAACGCTTTTCTTTTTTTTTATTCAATGTATTTTTCTTTTTTCCCCATTGTACAGAGCCCAAAAACTACTAACTGAACGTACTTTTTTTGTTTATCCACGTTATAGAATGTTGCCTCTTCACGCGAGGTTACACACTTGAAATTCACTTCGTGGAAAGAACGCGCAATGCCTAACGTGGCTCTGTTTGTTGGGTTCGTGACTGCCACGCAGGAAGCGAGGAAGAAGTATGGCGACACCAAGGCTCCAACCCTTGTGCACTGCAGGTTGGTATTCGCAATGACATGAAATTCAACCATGATAATTACGTAGCTTTTCGCTGTCTGGAAAAGATCTTAGAGACATTAAAAGGAAACTGCATTGAGGATCTGTCGACTTGTGGTAAAAAACAAGATGATTGGAGCGAGGGGTGTCCATGTACCTGACGATTGTAACCAGAGCGAATATTTCTCACATACATTTTCTCAAGTTTGAGATGCTTTTAGCGCTTTTCGATAAAGGATCGTAAAAACCGAATACCAAAATAATTTCGGCGACCAGTTACGACACAGAAAATCATTGCAAGAGAGCAATCAGAACTTATAAGATGAATGCACGTAACCGTTCTAAGGCACAAGAACCTGTTTACGATTAGTTACATTACTTTGAATGTGATCCCTTAGTTTCTGGGACCACCAAGCAAAGAGATCGAGGTGAAACACAACCCATGCGATTTTGCATTTCTTTCAGCGCTCATTCAGAAATTGGTCTTGACTAATGGGACTAAACAAAACTATGCTTATCGTTCTTTCAGTGATGGCCTGGGCTTCACTGGTGTGTATATTGCTGTGGATATCGGCGTTAAAAGTCACGAAGAAAGTAAAACATCAGTTGTTGATGTGTTTGAGTTGTCCAAGAACCTCAGACGGGATCGCCATGGCATTGTTTGTACCTTGGAGCACTATAACTTCATTTACCAGGTGAGAGAAACTACAACAACGTTTTTTTATCGCTAGTTTTTGAGGAGAGTGAGACTAGAAGCATACCTTAAAGAAAGCTAGGCTACGGTACGAGTTGAGTTCATTCTCTTGAGTTCTCTGCAACGAGGCGTTTTACTCTTGCTCTGCCCCTCTCGGACAGGAGTTTAAATAGTTATAACATTAGCAAATTGACAAATTGAGGAGGATTCTCTTTGTGCTTTGCTTTTGCGCATCGTTAGTCTACAGAATAGTTTAGTGATAAGAGGAAATGAAAAAGTCCTCCTTACGATAATTTGTGCAATGACGATTGTGAGCACTAGTTTTTGAATTACGCAGGGAACTTGTGGTTGAAGCTAATAAATGCATTTCTTTTCAGGCTCTCTACGAGTACACTGTGAACTACGACAAGTCAGCTGAGGTAAGCTGTTTTGCCATAATAGTAACGCGTGCCACTTGACTAAACAGTCAGTTGTAGGACTTATCGAATCTTTTTTAAAGAATTTACACCGTTTCCCCCAAAGGAGAAACATTGTTTTACTAACACTGAGAAATTATGCTTGATATGTTGTCAGGAATTTTACGTCATTTAATAGGTCCATACTGTCGTAATCTAGTGAGAGCGTTTTCAAAAAGGTTTAAAAGCCTTTAATGTCAAATTTCTTCGATTTAATTTAATATTCATTTCGGTTCAGGATGAGTACGTTTTCTCGTTTACGTTTCTTTTTCTAATTCTTTACCCTATTAATTTTTTGTTTTTCTTTTTTTCCTTTTATAGTAAGGCTTTGGTTCTGAACTGTTGGGTTGGAAAAGAACTGAAAACTAATAGTTTCATCCTCCAAACTGACGTAACAGTTCAATTTAAAGACACGGCACAAATATATAAGAAAGATACAGTAGCATTCAATTCATAGAGAAACATTTCCGTAAGTTTTTCAAGTTTGATTGACCAATCGCCTAAATTGCACATGAGTCCATTTTGTCTTTAAAACTTCATGAAAAACCATGAAAATGTTTTTAAAATTACGCATGACATGATGACCAGGTAGTGTCTGCACATTATTATTTTTTTTTCTTTTTGATGCATGCAGTATTTTTATCATTTAGTTTTCTCCGCTATTCTGCTATTTGGCATCAGCATGTGTGTAGAGAATGGGTCGTTTCTAAAAATCATCTCGCTGCATTATACAAACCTGCGCGGTTAGACCAGGTTCTCAATAGTAGTTCTTAGAGTCATGCTGATTGAAATCACTATTCTTCGAGGCAGAAAGATTGTAAAGTACTATGCCGTGAAACTGCTCGCTTTGTATATCTGCATGACATAATTAAGACAAGATTTTTGATGCTTGTAAATAGTAAACTTTTTTCATTAAAACTATTTCGATAATGGAGCTTTGAGTAATTGTTTATGCCTTCCTAACCCGATTCCTCCCCTGCTTGTTGTGACGGATTTCTAAGTCGAGTTATGTACGGCCATAATTACAATTAAAACGTGCCGGCGGAACAAATATTTACAAATGCCGGGCATCTCGACAGAAACAACATCATTCGATACCTACACGTCGGTCTTTCTTGGACATGCCTAGACATAACTTGACTTCTAATTGGGTCACAATCTTTAAAGTCATTACGATTTTGCCGAATTATTTCAAAGATCTACTTGCATGCATAAGGTAAGACTTTGCTTTCAAACTTTGCTTGAAGGCAGTCATAAAGCCTTTGTCAGTAAGCCGGTTAGTAAACGGGGAGTAATTATAATAGCAGGGGGCGATAAAGGATGAGGGTTTATTATGACGACATCTGTGCTGTACGCTTTCCTCTAATTTTTTTTTAGGCGCTACGAACAGGCTAAAACTAGATATCCGAAACAGTGTAAAGATCTAATGTAGAGAAAAACTAACTTGACTCCATTGAGTGGAGTGTAAGTGGAGCAAGTTGAGAAACCGGCTGTAGGAGGGAACGAAATGAAAAATATAAACTTTTCACACTCAGTCAGTCTACGCAGTCTTATTTCTTATCGGATATCTCTCGGTTAGATGTTTAGAAAAACTGGCTAATATTAAATCGTCTCCCGTGCGTTAAAAGGTTTTAACATCCGTAACCTTTTTAGTAGAATATTTTCACACATCAATTATCGCGCCCACAATACCAAGGGTTGCTTTGGTAAACAGAACACAGTAAATTAATTATGCAGGCAATTGTTTTTGTTAAAGCAAAGTAAACTCACTATCTCTGACAAAAAGTGTAGGCACTTCAGCTTTTGCACCCCGTGAGCTTGCAAAGGGAACGGAACTCTTGAAGAAGAAAAGGAATTCTACTTGAAAGTTGCCGCGAGGTAAGATATCTCGGTGCGTCTTATAATCAAAAAAAGAAAAAGATTGGTGTTAAGTTTTGTTGGAGTAAACTTGTGTCGTTTTTAATTAAAATCTTTTGTAATCTTTTCCTTGTCTGAGTTATCTCAGATGAGCAATTTTGTTATTAAAAACTTCAATTCCCTCTGTTTTTCAAATATTTAGTGCCCGAAGGGCTTACGTTACTATAACATGAAGCTCTGTCTCAAACAAAGCACTTTTTCCTGTTCCAGCTCTCGCGTTCTCCATCATGACGGTGTGGTTTTCGAGGCAACCCAGCTATTCAATTGAAACCATATTAAAGTTGGTGTTTTCTGTTGTCACCGCTGCTACTATGGTTAACGCTCAAAGTAGGTACAAATATATTTAAGGAGGAAAGTTAAAATGATTTGGTAGTTTTAGTTTAAAACTCTTTCGCGACCAAAGATCTACCTCTGTTCTCGTTGCCAGGACAATAACAGTAAATTAACGTAAACTTGAGAAAAAGAAAACAATGGAAAATAAACAACAGGTGAATAGCAGAGACAAGAGAAACTTATTAGCTCTTGTTCAGAACATTTTAAAACTTCACTAACTTCTCAAAAGTCATTTTTATATTTTTGCCGCTCAGACGTCCCGGATAATAGGCCGTTGCATCCTTGTCTTTTTTTTTTTTTTTTTTGTCTGTCATGTCTTTCCCAATGATAAAAGCTGTTTACAGATTTTAGGAGGAGCGGATGTTTATAGACAACTGAACAATGGCCGCATGTTTAGCTAGAGAATGTGGTTTGTATGGTGCATTGCACTGCACGGCTCAAACTATCACGTAAAATGAGTTTGATTTGTTAACTCGGTGTTAAGGAACAGTGCCACTTCTTTACGCTGAAAATGTATCTCTTTTTTTGTTTCTTTTTGTTTCAACCCTTTATATTGATTTGATCCAGTTGCTTTTTCGCAGCAGTAGCGAATGGTAGTTTCTAGGACTCCCACAGCGTTGAGTCTACTGCTTTAAAATCCGAAAACCGACCAATCCTAATGATACTTTTCATCATTACCGTTGTTTTACTCAGATTAATGCAAGGAACCATAGAGACAGGAAAATGTTCCTTTAATATTGCGATTTCCTCTTTTGCCGGTTCGAGTTTGGCCTTATTTTAACTTCTCCACCACAATAGTTTCAAACTTGACATGTATAACACATACTTCTGTCGCTCACAACGATACCTCAGAGCTCCTCTACCTCCTTTGCTCTAAAAGGAAAAAGCTCAGACTGTGAAAAACTCGAAAGAAATGCGAGATTTGGTGCCTTATGACAGAAACATTAGAAAGCCAGTGGAAACAGACGGTATTTCAAGATAGCTAAAACTTTTTTGCGACACCAATGTTTGGCTTCTGGCTTGTGCAAAATCGCAAATAGAATTGAAGTATTTAGACCAAGTATTGGATGTCATTTGAGACAATTTTAAATTTTATTTCTTTTCCAAATGCGTTGAGATTTGAAGCTTGTCACTGATAACTTTTAATTTAATATTTGGGTATAAAGGATAACTTGAAGATTAAAATGACATCTCAGCGTTTCTTCCCGCGAACTCGAATTCTTTAAAAATTAAACTTTTCTAACAACAACTGAACCAAAGAGCTCTTACAAGACCCACAACAGAATTATCATTTTGCCTAATTGAAGATAATTCTAGAACCTGAGATTTTTTCAGTTTTATGTGTTTTTCTTATTTAGTGACCATGTTTATATTTGCATTCAATGACGTATTTTGAAGTATGTTTAAATTGCTCCATGATGTAAATTGTGACGTGTGTTTTGTTATAATTACCTCAACAACACGCATTTTGCTACATCCGTCGAGTCCTCCTTGAATTCTAGTGACTTCAAAAGGAGCTAGGTTACTTTCTTTACGTTACTGAAAAAAATAAAAAAACAAAATAAGGAATGACCTTGTCATGGCACAAATGTTTAGAGCCATCTTAAATACGTTTGGTATTCAGGAAGTTTTACACGCCTTGAATAATCGAATCTTGAGAATGCTAGGTCTGCAGTTGGATTCAATGGTAAAGTCGCTGCTATGTTAACCTATTGATGAAGTAATTTTTATCAACCATTTTCTCCTCATAACTTATTCACCATCAATGAACTTTAAAAAATAACTTTAAGCCTGTTTCAGGGTGATCAGTTGAAGGGATGAGCGAAAAAGCGGGGTAAAACGAATGACAAAAAATGACGGAGAACTAAGAAGAGCTAAGGAGGGTACCTCGTCTCTTTCCCTTCGCCCCAAATTTGTCACTGCTTGTCACGCCTTTGTGTTTAAACGCGCAACTGTTTTTCTCTTTTCACCTCAGACCAGGAGTATGGCATAGGTTGGGTATCATTAGGTATAATTCATGGTGCTCGAAGAAAAGAGGCATAACATAAACTTAGATTTGTTGCTTCACTCCATCTTTAAAAGCTATCTCTATAACGCTAACTCCAACCACAAGTGTCCTGTCATCGGGTGTTAATTCCACTTCGCCCACGGAAACAGTTGCCTCCATGACCCCAACGCTAACAACAAGTGTTATGTCATCAAGAGTTAACTCCACTTCGCCCACGGAAACAGCTGCCTTCGTAACCCCAGCGCTAACAACAAGTGTCATGTCATCAAGTGTCAACTCCACTTCTACCACGGAAAGTCATAACATCACTTCGTTTCAAGTGATGATTGAATTCGTAGATATCACTTGGAATGATAAATTTCTGAATAAAACAAGCGATCAATACAAGAGCCTGGATTCTAACGTAACCGAGGCTGTAAAAGATGCACTCAGAGTTGAAAATGTGAACTCGACTGTCCATGTTATCGAGTTCAAACCCGGAAGCGTGTTGGGGTTTTTCAACATCACAGCAATGAAACCAGAAACAGAAGTCAAGGCGGCCCTAAGAAGGCAAATGAAGAACGGTACCATTGGTGATTTTAATGTATCAAAGACGCTGTTTTCTGGAAGTTTGTTTGATGTTGTTATTAAACTTAAGAAGGAATGCAGTGATACTCATGCGTCAAATGTGAAGCATGAGGTGGAAAGAGTGAAACGTGAGGTGGAAAATGTGTTACCTGGGAACGAAACGGCGACATTACAGAAAGTCATATGCTCAAAACCTGGTAACGTCACTATAGTAACCTTTCGCCTTCAAGTAGAGGATGCTTCTTCGAATAACCCCGACAAGCAACTTCAAGGTTTAAAAGCGAGCGTTGAGCGTGGCCAACTAAGCAACTTTTCGTTAATTCCAGAATGGCAAGCTTACATCCCTGGGGAGAAACAGTTTTTGGTTTCTTTTAATCTAACAAAGCCTTCTGAAAATAGGAGCGTGACAATCAAGGACCTAGAAGAGGCTATCAAGGATATTTTCAAACTGAATGACAGTGACTACAGATACGTCACAGTTGATTTGATGAGTGACAATAAAACGGCGGTTGTTAAAGTCGGTATGAAGACAGTCGCCATTGACAATCCAGGAGCAGTAATGAACCCTTTGGATCCACTAGAGAACAAAGTCAAGACGGGTAAAATTGGAAACACTACTGTGCTAAATATATCATTTGAAGCCTCTGTGAACCCCAGCACACTAACACAAAAAGTATTTCAAGTAGAGTTTCGACTTAACATGTCCGACTGCAATCTGAACATTAATCGTGAGAATGCTTCCAAAGCCGTCAACGATTACATACGCAATAGATTGAAAGAATACAAAAGCTTCCTGAAAGCTGACTTCCTGCGTGATAAACTCAGCTGTCAGAATGGGTCTCGCTATAAAAAACAGCTCTTTATACATGGAGCCTTTTTAGTGTATGTACATCCGTCTGCTTCAGAATTACGTAGCCAGTTTAACCCATACTTACTCAAGTGCGGCAGAAATGCCGAGGGAGCAACCTATGATTGGGGAATAAGGGTAACTCCTCTTACACCAACTCCAACCCAAACCAAAATAGGAAAGGGAATTCGAATGGTCTGCCCCGATAAACACAAAACTAAACCTACGTCAGAGCCCACAGCAACCATCACTGTGACAGAAGGGTCAACATTTCCGACTTCTCCCAGCACAGAGGTACCAGTGTTAGATCCGAGTCTTTATGTCAAAGTGAGACTGGGTATCACTTGGGGAGAGTTTTGCTCCAAACTGGAGCACAGTTTAAAACAAAAAATAGCTTGGAACTTGTTCGACAAGAATGGTACGAAAATATCTCCCGAGAGGATTATTTTCATCAACGTCGAGAAAAACTGCGCGGATCCAAGCAAGAAGGACGAGCAAGCAAAAGTGTGGTTCTACGTATCAAAAGTAGACTCCAATAAGCTGCACAAACTTCTCACACTAAAGGCTTACAAAGTACTGAAAATGTTCGTGGATAATGGAAATACCAAGCCTCTTGGACAAGACTTTGAGGGAAAGGTAAAGATTACTTTTCTTTGTTACTCACAAAATGTTTTCCCCTTCTAGTTTCAACGCCCATGTTAGTTTGTTTGTCCATAACATCGTCTGCTTACACCCTTGTCTATGTTGCTGACCATCTTACTGCATGTCTGTCTGTCTATGGTTCCTTGACTCGAACTCTTGTTTCCCATACTTTAATCGTTTCCTCAATGAACTAGGCATAAATTTAGTTAATGCAACTTAACGTAACAATAAGACAAACGAAGAAAAAGGCTGAAGAAAACCACAATCTGCGATAAAGTTTACACTGTATAGAGCTTGAATTTCAGTTGTTTAATAACAATAAGAATATACTCAAAGCGTTAATGGGCAGAATTGGTGTCCAGATATCAAGGAACAGATTGAGAATTTTAAAGGTATGGAGATTTTTTTTTCATTGAAACTGTGACCACCTCTTGATTTCAAGACTGAGGTATTATATGTTTCACATAATTTTAGGTTATTCACGTAGATCTGGCTGGTGAGGATGCTTCCAAACACAAATCTAAATACGATTCTGGTGATCTTTCATTACTGGCCATTATCCTTATCGCCGTCGCATGCGCAGTTGGTCTTCTCTTATTGACAATAGCATGCTGTTGTGTGAGTATATCAGCACCATTTTCAGTTTCATGAATGAGGAATATGAACATTTTGATGCGAGGGTAAGATTTATGGAAATATGTGTGCTTTCTGTGTTGCAAAACTTGAAGAAGTAGACAGGAACTCTTGGATAGGAGACATAATGGAGGATGCTTATTTAAGATTGGAATGAATAAAAACGGAATAGGATAGAAGGAGTGGAAATGCAAAATAATAGAATAAAAAGTGGACGAGTCAGTGACAGCCTATCCATCTGTTGAGCAGGATATATCTGCTTGGGAAGATTTTGTTAATCTTAATACTCCAATAGCAAA